TTACGGTTATAAAAGAGAAGCTTTTTCAATAATTTATAGCTTTAATTGCACACTAGCGGAGAACATTTAGAAACTGACTGCTGTTAATGTGCTGTAAAGAATTACAACAATAAATACATATATAGAAAGGCCAATTCCTTGCTGAAACATATAGTTATGCCATTCAAGGTATTTATCTGCACTTGTATGACTTATTTATCTACTAAAAGTCGTTTAAGCGAAGAGTTAGAAACTTTTATAGTTGCCTTTTAAATCTGACCCTTCTAAACTACCTATTGTATCTTTTCGCATACAGGGTGTCCCGGGAGGAAGAGCAAAAACGTTAAGGAAATACTCCTGAAGTAAAAATAAGCAACAATTATTTATAGTACTAGACGATAAAATAGTATTTTATTTATCGACGAGTGAAAAGGGCAATAGTTGATAATATATTTTTTCCAACCGTCACAAAACTATGACATTTTTGACTGTCAGAAGTCTCTAAGGTTGACATTTTCCTTACTGAGAAAAAGAAAATGGTATCTTAGCAACAAAAGTATTCCCTTTTAATCCTAGGAGCTAAAGTTGACACTTTTAATCCTTAGATTAAAACTGTTAATCCAGTTTTAATTTATAAAAGTATATTCAACAATATTTTTTCTTTATCCACATTGATATTAAATACACAGTTTGAACAAGTATTAAAATTAAATAAGCCACCGAAATAGTGGTAGTATCCTCATTCCTGGGTTCTCAAAGCAGTCCAACACGTTTTCATTAATAGTTATATTATTTTCAGATGTTGTGAAATCTGAAATGACAACGATGCTTGATTTATCATTACCACTATCAACTTTCAGTATTATTTTCGCCATATTTTCTTTATTCAAAAATGAATCTTCATGTAGCCTTCCGCCACAGTGCCCGATCTTCATCCTCTGTGTCCTTTAAGACAAGTGAGGTCATAACCGATGTCAACTAAAAGGGTAGCAGATGTTCGTCGTAATGCGTGTCCACTGTACTCTTTCCAGTTCTCTAGCTTCAAAAATTTTGCCACTTCTTGCGAGACGGCATTGATTTTATGAATACCGACCACCATTTAATGACACTTTCCACTAACATATCTGAGAAATAATCGACGTTCTACTAATCCGGGTGGACGTAAAGCAACATATTTTCGATAAAAACGATAAATAATTGTCTTCCAGCAGAGTAAAAGACCGTGGTCTCTTGGTTTTGGTATCGGGTATTTTTATAATTAAGGCGGATTTCACATCTTCAATACTATCAATTGTTAAATTGACTAATTCATCAGAACGGCATGGGCCTGCAACTGCCAATATTAGGACGACCTATAAGGAAGCGTTTTAAAAATGTTGTTCTTTTATTTTTAAAGTGTTTATCCTCATCATCAAATATAAATTATTAGGTGCACTATTCAAAAAGTAATCAACTTGCACCTTTTGGGTACATATCCCTCAATTTGTCTGTTGAGAAAAGCACGAAACTTTGAATATTTGCTTATATCAATCCCCTTCTTTATATCCCGTTGACCGCAATTGAATATTGTGACCAAAGCGTTGACGACATCATTTTATTTGCTAAGTTTGAGAAATACACCATTAATACAACTTCTGTTTCTGAATACAACTTTTTTTGTTGTTTTTTGTTTTGTTTTTTCTTTGCACCAATCCATAAATCGTTAGTAGACACATTCATAAATTGCTCGAGATTTCTTTGGGAGAAGATTCAAAGAAACCTCTTTCGCACACTACTATATATCTCCCCAGGTTGTAGAAAAAATAGCATGTTTTATTTGGATTCAAGTTTCTTTTTTGTCTTGCAATTTTATATCCGCTCCGCTTCGCTTCGCAAATATAAAATTTGTTTGCCACAAAAGTAACACTTGTTATCTTAATATAACAATATGTATACTATTATCGCCAACCGTCAATAGAGCGAATTATTTATAGAAAATGATGGAAGAAGACAATCATAGCACGCCGCTTGAACTTCGTGTAGAGTCGTTAGAAACGTGTTTGGAAATTCTACCTCAAAAATTAGTCGAAAAATAAAATCGGCAGTATGACATATTCATGGAATGGTGCAAGAAACACGGAATTAAAAAATATAGTGAAAATGATTTTCTGGCATATTTTTCCGCCTTATTGAAAAAGTATTCTCCTTCTTCAATATGATCGTATTATTCCATGGTGAAAGCAAACCTTTCAACAACAAATGACGTTGACATTAGTAAATATAAAAAACTTAAGGCTTTTTTTAAATAAAAAGGAAGAAATATTCCAAAAAAATCCAAAACTCTTTCACAAGAAGAAATACTTAAATTTTTACTAAATGCAATGTAATTTATGTTAACTTTTCAAAAATAATTTGATATAATTGTAGTAATTATTTTAGATTTCTGTTGTTTGCCATTGCTGGGGCTTTACGTAATGAAGAACTTTTGAATTTAAAAGTAAGCGACATAGAGCACAAAGAAACAATTCTGTTTGTGCATGTAACTAAATCAAAGACCAACGGCCTCGAATATTTGTGATAACTTCAGAGTTTGAGGGAAAAGTAAAATCTGTAGAATTATTTAACAAATATTTTTTGAACTTATAGAAATAGTATTTGCTGTTATTTGTCTGTTTACTTTGTATAATAAAATGTGATGAGTTATAATATCTCCATATTTTGTAATTATACATTTTTCCGGTTGACGATAAAATTTTGTATGCACCACGTTGGTAAAGTGTCTTTATCGAACTCGCATCTTACCCTCCTCGTTCGCTCGGCTCATAACCTCATACTCTTTCAAAAGAATCAATTTACTGACATAACTGTTATCATTGTGTATAATGTATTTTTTTATATGGCAAATGAGAAAAACATTAAAAAAATCAAGTAGGTACTAATTGAGTCACGTTTTAAAATCGTAGTGGATAGTTGAGGCTACTATAGAAAGTGGCATTAAATTAACTCCTGCACTAAAAAATTACTCTTATTTAAAAAATACATATAACTAATAGTTAACTAATATTGACTAAAGAAAACTTTTTTAACCACAATTATTGCACATCTTGTATTATACACATACCTACTTACTGAACATCAGTATAAGTCCTAACTGCCTATTTTTTAATCTATGTCAAATGAGGTAAGTAAAAAATTTACATTTGCTATAACAGGTTTTCATCTCTAATTTTCTTTGCAAAATAAAACTAACTTAAAATTGAAAAAGTTAATTTTCTACTATAGTAATGCGGTCCACTTAATTTGATTATATATTAAAATATCTACTACAGCTGAAATATCAGATTGATTACAGCATTGCCTCTATTTACCTTGTACAGTACAGTTCACTTATACAGGGTGTCCCGAAGTTCATGCAACAAAATTTGGTCATAGATTCTTAAAACAAATTTAGGGGACCCATATTTTTTCTTTTCGCCAACTGGCCCCTTCTTTCGGTGTTACAGCGCCCTGAAATCTGCCCCTAAGAAGTCTTTTTTATATCTCAAAACCATGTTGTACGAGAATAACTAAATTTGGTACACAGCAGTTTTATGACATGTGGAATTTCACAGTGCTACGCTTTTTGGCGAGAAACCCCTTAAGACACTTTTTCATCGGCCCCCTTGTCTTTGGAACCTAGAAAAATTTGGTGGCAAATTTTGATTTTGATTTTTTTTTAATTATTAGTTAGCTAGAAAGCCATTGAATTTAGAAACTTTTTTGTCACTTGATATTTGTTTCGTAAAACGCAATGTTTTTGAGGAAAATGACGAAACACGATATGCATTCAATCACATTTTGACATTTTTCTGGAAAAGATTGCGTTTTACGAAAAAAGTATAATGTGACAAAATGTTTATAAATTTAATGGCTTTCTAGTGGACTGATAATTTTTAGGAAATTTAAATATGCGACCAAATTATTTTGGCTCCAAAGACAAGGGGGCCCATGAAAAATTGTCTTAAGGGAGTTCCCCGCCAAAAAACGTTGCAACATCAGATTCCACATGTCATAACACCCCTGTGCACCTAATTTAGTGATTCTCGTACAACAGGGTTCTGAGAGGGGGCCACTTGGCAAAAATAAAAAATACGGGTCCCCTAAATTTGTCTTAAGAATCTATGACCAAATTTTGTTGCATGAATTTCGGGACACCCTGTATTTTAATGTACAAGGCGACCTTGATAGTTACAATACAAGGAAAGCAAGTTTTTTGACACCTAAATTTAAATTAACAAAATCCAAAAAAACCCTAAATTTAATTATGTATAATAAACTAAGCCCAGTTACAATTTATAATATCTAAAAATAAAATAAGAAGTTCTATTACAAATAAAGCCTTTTACTAAGGACAATTTTAAAGATACCAATATTATTTAACTTCTAATAAATAAATTCCTTGTATGATTTTCTCCTGAGGTGCACTTTTTATACTGCCATTCTCTTACGTATTCCCTCTTTTTATTGTATTTTAGATATTAAGTTGACTTTTATTACAACTTGTTTTAATAGTTCTGTATAGGATTTATATGTTTTTTAACTTATGTGTTATGACAACAGAAATGGTTCTACAGTTCAGAGGATAATTTGTACGAATGTATGTAGACATGTTGTATAATTTTATATTCTGTGTGATTTTTGTTAAAATTGTTTTAACGTTGTGTATTGTACATTGTACTTTTTTTTATAACAATACCAACTGTTTTACAGTTCATTCTCAAACTGAAAATCGACGTACCACATTTGCACGAAATCTATATTTATTGCAACAAAATTACATTTTGCTGAAGGTTTTAGTGACCGTAGTAACAATCTTAATTAATAGGTACAGTTTGTGTCAGTAGCCACAGTTAAATGATCTGTTCACTTTTAATTACTGACTGGCTACCAGAAATCTTGATCTAAGAATGTCTTAGTGCAATGAAAAAATGATAGTAAGAGTATTTGGGATGAATGAAAACAGTTTCACACGCTCACTCATTCTTTCTTATTAAATGTTTTACCTTCGTGACTTCTTTAAGTATATAGGCAATATGTTCTTCAGCCATTCTTCTATTTTTTGCTAATAAACCATTTACCAAACATATAGCGGGCCCTCCTTCGCATAACTGAAATGAGACATCAGTAAATCGGTTGCAGAACAATTTTTCTGTTTTGTTGTGGATAAAAAGTGATATCTTACAAATTAAATTATATCGATATAATCGACATTATAATCACATGTTATTTTTGAATTACCTTCTGTACAGTGCTTCTGTATTCAGTTTTTATTTGTGTAGTACAGTTAAACTCAGCTGACGATTGTCCACTGTTAATAGTTCTTACTTTTTTATTCTACTTTATGTAACGTAAAGTACCTATTTTTTAAATTCACTATGTGTGTATTTTTTAAATTATTTGGATGAAGCAAGTTTTTATCGGTGTTTTATAAAAAATATGAAGTTGTGCCTTGATTTAAAGAAACGAAAAGGAGAAGTGATGCAACGGACAGGACTATATTTCTTGTTGGATAATGTAACAAGCAATTCGAAATATGTGAGCTCAATTTAAGGATCCCAAATGGTAAAAACTGCATGCTTGTATAATTCCCAGAATATAACTCAGTATCGCGGTGGAGCGTATCTGGAAGGCCATGGTCAGATTTAGTTGACAAAAACATGTTGCACGTATCGAGGGGCATGCCATCATTTCTGCATGCTTCATAACAGGTCGTATGGGCTTTTGTCGAACTTGTTGACATATCACTTTTAGAAGAGATTCATGATACCTATTCGTCGGACTGATCCTCGATTTATTAAACGTATTTTCACATAATCCAACCAAAGGTCAGTATATATTATGATATATCTATCTAGGATTTCAAAAAAGTGTAGAAAATCATAAAACAATAAGACAAAAAAATATCCTTTATTTCTTTAAGATGTTACAGCTTCCCTGACAAAAAATTTCCAAACGGGTTAACTAAATCAACTTTTTGGTACATGTTTTACCTAATAAGTCGATGATACGATTTTATCAATTATTTTTTGAGCAGATCTCCGTCATTAGAATATATTAGGTATTTTTTTTGAAAAAAAAAAAAAAAAATACGATTCCCAAAATTAAAAAAATAATTTATGGCATACCTACATTGTGGATGCCATAAATATTATGTTGAAGAAACCTCACGTCTTGTAAATATTAGAATAGACAAGCACAAAGGTTATATTAAAGATCGTGAAATTGAGAAATCAAAAATTTGCGATCGTGCTTAACAAAAATGATTGATTGTGGAAAAGGTGATTTATTATGCAAAACTTTTTTAACAAAAGTAACCCTTCACCGATATTTTTTGCGCAAGGATATATTTCATCAATTTTTAAATTTTTTTTTTACAGGTGGCCAAATTACCAGTAAATAAAGAAAACTATGCCAAAATAAGTCACTCAGACAATTATTTACTGACCTTCCACAGTGGATAAAGTCAAGATTACCTTGAAACCAATGCATAATTATGTTTTCCGCTATTAAATTTACTGAACAGATTTATTAAAAAAATAATACTGTATTGTAAATAATGTTTAATAGTAATCCTTTTATGTCCTAAATAAAGGACATTTACTTAAATAATTTTTATATAATTCGCAAGACCGTTTTGATATCAATGAAATTTTATGAGGGATTCTATAATAAATAAAATAAACAGAGAAAGATTTAATAATTGATATGACCTAAGGGAGTTAATAAAACCAATATTGGATAATAATAGAGATAGAGAGAAATATAAAAATTTTAAGAGAGGTAGAATATTATGTCAGTGATAGGTACTCTATACCTACTCCGCGGTAGAAATTATAGAGAGTGACTCATCGCTAGCTTTTGGACTAGTAAGGGGGATGAGTCGTGTCGGGAACGAAAATCCATTGGCGTGTCTGCGTAAAAGGCAACAAGATATAGAAAATATTGAAAAAAGATAATAAAACATAACATCTAATATTTCTTTACGGTTTGCTATACCGGCACTGATCCATTTTAATTATTACAGCATTTTAAAACGTCCCAGTTGTGTTTTTTTTTAATTTATAAATTTATTATAGCAATGGAATTAGACCCCGCGTCTACGCTTACGCTATGACGTTTCTCAGGACGGCTAAATCAAGTCCGTTTACACCCACTAAAAAGAATTTCCGTATTCCCTACCAAGTGCAAATGACAGAGATAGAATATGGATCGACGTTCAGTGTAACTCAGTCTATAGACGATTATAGATTCTACCGATGTGCGTAGTGAGCCGCACGAAGATAAATAATATTGATCCGTTATAAAAATCATTTTATATTTTATGCGCATTATAGTAATAGTGTATTTATATTATGTCTTAGTCACTCTCTATAATTTCGACCGCGGAGTATATATAATAACACAAATTCAATGTAGTAATTATTGAGATGAAAAAAAACTAGCAGGAAATGAAATTGACTTATTTAATATTTTTAATTCATAAAAAATATGTCAAGGAAGGTGTTAAAACTGTCCTTCCTGCATGACATTGCAGGCTCTACATTTTCTTAAAATGAATTCTATGCATTCTTAAATATCTCAGGTTGGGTTTTGTTTGTGTTACAGCCTCTCTTATTTACCGCTGTTGAAATTGCATTATCTTAAAAGATAACTTTAAATAAATAATGCGCATGAACGTCGATCTTGTCGTGCCCGATTTTTGACTTGAACGTTTTAAATGCAGTTCAAAAATCTTGCGCGTGACCGTAGGCGGCATTAAAATCGCGTGCGCGGATCTGCCCCCCCCCCCTACCCCCCGCGTACAGGCCGTTCATTAACGTTAACTTTTACTGCTGCTAGCGCGTTTATTACATGAACTATCATAGCAAAATGTTCTGAAATACAAGTTTAACCCTGTCTTGAATTGCCTCTAAAATCTCTGTCCAATACGTCCAATAGTTAAGAGTTAACATTATAAAAAAAGTTATCTTGGGAACACAGAGGCGTAGGTGATCCTTTTTTAATTACCGTAAAAATAAGCTCTATTTAATTCAAAAAGAGCGAATTTCCGAGCGGCTTTTGTCTGAGCCTGAGCCTGAGAATTAGATCCTATATCTTATTAATTTCTAAAAGTAACTTTTAGTAATTAAGGAGGTTTTTCGGGTACGGAGGTACATCTAAAGTCTAACGAGAGTTTCTGTAGATTCGCTAGTGACTAAAGTAGTAAGCCTTTAGACTTGTCAATGTTGCACTTGGCTGGCTCGCTCGCCTCGGCGTTCTCTCGCTCGCGTTCGATCATTCTGTTTGCTTGGACACCTGCAAATTTAAAATAATACGCTACGTCGAGACCGCGGCGTTGCCGCTATCACGCATATGGAGGATAAGTTAGACAACGACAGCAGTTTGAAGGATAATTATTATAATTATGTATCTTACAAGTACCTAATCGATTTCTACGAGCTATCATACGATCCCTTAGATATCGGTTTCCTATTTATACAAGTTGCTGTGGAAACTGTTCGTCAATTGTAGCGCATTCTAAGTGGAAAGATAAAAAAAATCTGCATTCTCATAAGACTTCGTACTAAATCGTGAAAAATTATTTTATTAATATCTCGTCTCTTAGATTTCCATAATTTTGTTTGAGGATTTTCTTCATATTAATAAGCTTATATTAATTTTTTTATGAATATTTGTTTGTCAATTCCAAATCAGAGAAACCTCCTTAAACGATTAGTTGTGAAAACACAAAGGGTCAATTGAATCGGCGTTTGGCACACATCTTGGTCATTAGATAAAACCATATTTTATATAAATTTCATTAACATCCATCGCATTTTGCAATGATGCAATTTTTGCAATTTTTGAAAACCGATTTTGCCGCTCTCGACCTTTATTTTACAGTTAACAAATTAGGGAAATATGACTTTAGATACCTTAAATTGTAATTCCAATAGGCCGTCTAGTCGTGAGCAGTAAAAAAGTGAAAAAGACGTAAATTTGCCAATTATTACTTTTAGTTTTTTGATATTATCATTCTACATACATACATACATACATAAGATGTTCACTAATAATATTTTTTCAGGTTTTATGATCTAATTCGACTGGAGTAATATATTTACATATGTTTATGCATAGTACCTAACTAGTATTGACAGATAGAAAAATCAATTTTAATGTTTTAGTATTACATTCATTTTCATATAAAAATTTATCTCGTTGAAGTTGATTTGTGAAATTTCATTACCGTTCGTTACTGCAGCTTTTGCAATATTTATTCCTGAAACTATATTATTATCTGTTATGGTAGATACTGAAGAATATCAAAAGCTGAATTTGAGAGATAAATTAAACTATATTTATCAGTTATAGAATTCAATTCTGCATTTGGTATCCCATGAATCAATGGATCACAAAAGTTAAACTATATTTTTAGAATACCTACTAATTTTGATGTAGTTTAACGACAATGATAAACGTTTTTTATTTTGTATTAGAGTAGGTAGCATAATACCTTTTAAATTCAAATAAATTCAAAATTATTTTCTAAAAATCTTAACAAATTAAGTCAGAAGAAGATACAAAAATCTAAGTATACAAAAGATTTCTAACTCTACATACAAGACTCCTAACTGCTAATATTGCGGGAAACCATTACTCTTATGTCCCAAACAGTATTGAGTTACACCAGCAATATCTAGTAGGCAGCTTAATAATAATTATCTAACATTTCCGGCAATATCATTAATCAAAGATCTTGTCCTTGGCATTAGATTTGTGTATACCTAGTTTTTTGGTACCGAAGAACATTGTTTAACTTCATCTGATAGGATTTTTAAAAACAATTTTTTAATTTATTTTAATTAGCTTAATACCTTTAAAATAACGTAACAAAACAAGTGATACAAAATACAAAATATATATTTATTAAAAAATAGTAAATGGCATGATGAAATTTGCTCAAATGCGAACTAAATTTATGTATAGGTACAAAAATATACTAACCTCTAAAACAAACCATATATCATTTCCCTTTTTATAAACACCATAAAAGTCCACCAAATTTAAATGGTTGTTTATATCCCTCAGTATATTGTATTCCTGTTCTACATACCTCTCTGTTTCAGAGTTATATTTTTGAATTTTTATAGCAACTCTCTTTTTACTTGCTTGACTGTCAGTAGCAAGATGTACTCTTCCATATACACCACATCCCAGTATGTGACCGAGTTCATATCTGTCTCCGGGGTCCGGGACTTCAGCGAAATTAATTTTCATTTTCTTGTATCTAAACTTTAACAACGCGGATTTACATCGACCTGTAACATTTAATACCATTTTATTCGGTAATTCATTATATACAGCNTATCGTGTGTTATTTTTGTCCGACATGTGGTAATCGATTTTTCATACCCCGTGAAAATTCCGATTTCCAGCTGTCGGACTGAAAAAACGCGGCTTGAAATTTGTCGGACAACAATACTTTTTGACTGAATTAATTATTTACAATTAATTTTACTAAAAATTACCTATGTGGTAATTGATTTTCAATACCCTGTTATTTTGGCATGTTTCGACCGGTAGACACGTCAATGTCGGAGGAATTTCTGTCGGATAAATTTAAATCGGCATTTGCAATAACATTTCCAGTTACTTAAGCTAAAAATAAAAGATGTGGTCTTGACTTTTTAAGACCCCGGGAAATTGTCATGTTTTTGGACTTTTCCGTGTGGAAAAGCGGAGGAATCGAGAATAGTCGCAGAGGAAAAATGTGGTAGACTCGTCAAAACGAAGCTCCTCAGGAGTTATAAAGTATGTGGTAATCAACTTTCCAGAGGAGGTCTGTACTGTGGACTATTACTCTTATGTCCCAAACAGTATTGAGTTACACCAGCAATATCTAGTAGGCAGCTTAATAATAATTATCTAACATTTACGGCAATATAATCAATCAAAGATCTGGTCCTTGGCATTAGATTTTTGTATACCTAGTTTTTTGGTACCGAAGAACATTGTTTAACCTCATCTGATAGGATTTTTAAAAACAATTTCTTAATTTATTTGAATTAGCTTAATACCTTTAAAATAACGTAACAAAACAAGTGATACAAAATACAAAATATATATTTATTAAAAAATAGTAAATGGCATTGATGAAATTTACTCAAATGCGAACTAAATTTATGTATAGGTACAAAAATATACTAACCTCTAAAACAAACCATATATCATTTCCCTTTTTATAAACACCATAAAAGTCCACCAAATTTAAATGGTTGTTTATATCCCTCAGTATATTGTATTCCTGTTCTACATACCTCTCTGTTTCAGAGTTATATTTTTGAATTTTTATAGCAACTCTCTTTTTACTTGCTTGACTGTCAGTAGCAAGATGTACTCTTCCATATACACCACATCCCAGTATGTGACCGAGTTCATATCTGTCTCCGGGGTCCGGGACTTCAGCGAAATTAATTTTCATTTTCTTGTATCTAAACTTTAACAACGCGGATTTACATCGACCTGTAACATTTAATACCATTTTATTCGGTAATTCATTATATACAGCCTGATGATTACAAGCCACGTGACTGCCGCGCTTATGCAACCAACATTCCACAGTTGGTACTACCAACTAAAAATTCCTAATTCTTAGCGTCACAAATATACTCACAGAATTCTACAAAAATAGTAACTTGTAAATACAAATCATAAATTGTTTTTCATCAAAAATTCCTTTGGAAATTTGCTATTAATACTTATTAAAGATGATACAAATACGATTTAGCAAACTATTACTTTTTGTTATTTGAAAAGTGATATCTTTAGGACATACTCGGCGATCAGGAAGACTGATTGTGAGATTTATTTGAGACAACAAGTAGGGACTATCTAATTTATTATTAAGCAATTTGTATAAAAACATCAACTGATGGTGGTACATCCTGTATTCCAGTTTGACAATATTGAATTCAGTGCGATAGGAATCATACGAAACAAAGTCGGAACTTCTGCTGTATTTTTTGTAGAATAAATATTTTATAAACTTATTTTGTACATATAGTCTTAATATGACTCCCAAAATTTAAGTCGGGCTGAAATAGTATCCCTAAATCTATTATTTCATAATTCCTAGTAAGAAGAGTATCATTCATCTTATACGTTAAATATTCAGGTGTTTTCAATTTACAATATGTCATTACACTACATTTTCCTAAATTAAAATATAATTTATTTTTAATTGACCAATTATATATCGCATCTATGTCATTTTGTAATTATTGTAAATGACCATCAAAAGTGATTATTCTCCTAAATAGTTTAAAGTCATCAGCATATAACAAACTCTGTGACACAACATTATCAGGTAAATCATTAATGAAAATAATAAATAACAGATGCCCCAAATTAGAACCTTGGGGCACCCCAGACCCTGCCAAAAAGTAATTTGAAGTCTCATCCCGATACATTACACACTGATTCCTATTTTTTAAATAAGAGCTGAAAAAATTGAGAAGGTGATCACTCATACCATGCAGAAACAACTTTGATAACAAAATATCATGATTGTCGAAAGCTTTGGCAAAATCTGTGTATACCGTATCCACTTGAGAACCATCTTCAAAGGAATTCCAAACCTTCTCACAAATGTTGCTAAGTTAGTATCTATTGATGTATTCCTACAGAAGCCATGCTGATTAAAACTAATATATTTTTTAATATGTACATACATTTTTTCATATAAAGTAAACTCAAATAATTTTGCTACACAGTTAAGAACTGCAACTGGGCTATAATCAGCCACGTCACTTTTAGCCTCTTTTTTATGTATTGGTGTAATTTTCGTTTTTTTAAATTCCCTAGAAAATACCCCAGTCTCTGTGGATTTTTGGTAGGTATATAACTAATCTATTACATGCCTCGATACTAATGTGGAAGTGGAAGACTTGTAATGTTGTCACCTATAACGTATAGAAAGAAAGCTTCTAAAGTACTTATACAAGGTGATTTCACTTTAAATACAGAAACTATAGGAATAGATTAATTATCAAAAAATAAGTAGAGTTTTCTCTATAATTTTTTTCATGAGGGACGCGGTATTCGAGATAGAGGGTGTTAAAGTTTAAGAAAAAAATATCTTTTCTATCATATCTTCATAATGCGCTTACGGAATTGATTGAAATTTACTACAGCGTATTCACTTAATTAGATCTTTTATTGAATATAATATTAACCTTGTGGGTGTAACCAGTAGCGTGCTAGAGAAGGTGCCACCCCATTACCCAACAAAAAATACGCCACTGGCGGTATTTTTTAGAAATAATGTTACATTTAGGTACTGTTACGTTAAATGAATGAAAAATGTTTCTTGGTATTTTTTAATTATAGCAGCCGTTTGGGAGATATTTTCTAATAAATTAGGCCTTTTATTTATCCACTAGCGTGCTACCAAACCGGCCGACAACTTTTCCCAAAAAAAAAGAATACGCCACTGGCTGTTATTTTGTAGAAATAATTTTGTTTCTGGAAAAGATATCAAACTAAATTATAACATAATATTAGCAAAGTAATTAAGTAACGAGTCCTACAACGATTGTTCAAAATTACGTCCTTCCGCATCGATACACGCTTGACATCTTTTAATCAGGCTATTTATAGAGAGGAATTTATCACGACACGATTTTCCTTGAGGAGATTACAATTTTCCTCTATTCTTTGACATTATTTGTCACGTGTTCATAAGCCCAACAAGAATTGCAGCTTCAGGAATAAATACACAAAGCTAGCTAAAATACCAAAAAAGAGATGCTCGTAAAGATTACTAACTGATAATGCAGACAAAAGAATCAATTTTTGTAGATGGATTTTAAACAAATATGACTATGTGGACTAACTTTGCGCACTATGGTCGGCAAATAAATAACTTCCTAAACGGCTGCTACTATTAAAAAACATCAAGAAACATTTTTCATTCATTTAACGTAACAGTAGTTGAATTTAACATTATTTCTAAAAAAAACCGCTAGTGGCGTATTTTTTTCTAGGCAAAATGGGGCGGCGTCTTCAGTAGCACGACACTGGTTACAGGTACAATGTTAATATTCAATTCAGTAAAAGGTCTAATTAAGTGAATATGCTGTAGTAATTACTAATTCCGTCAGAGCATTATGAAGATATGACAGAAAATCTAATTGTTTTTGTAAACACTGTATCTTGAATACTGCATGCCCCAAGAAAAAAATTATAGAGCAAACTCTATTTATTTTTTGGTAATGAATCTATTTCTGCAGTTTCTGTATTTAAAGTGAAATAATCCCTGTTAAAAAAGTGATGTTTCCACTGATTTCCAAATAAATGTAGAGCAAATTATTGAGAGTCTACTTTTGTCAGTTTGCAATTGCAGCTTTTAACTTTTCTGAAATATCAAGTGAAGGATATTATCATTATGACATTTACAATTAATCAAGATAATTAGTTTCACCGGCAAATCATTTAAATGCAGTCTCATTAGCGGTCATTAGTAATAACCAAAAAGGAGAAATATACCATAAATGATATGTTAGGTAATTAAATTCTAAAAAGGTACATATATTTAATTGTATAATTGTGGCATTACTCACTTGTTTCCAGTACCAGTAATTAAGACTCTTTTTCAGATGTAGGTATCCGATCTTATCTATATTATAAATACGACCAAAGCTTGATCAGCAGGTATTACAAATTACCTCCGTCCTCATATGGTAATTAAATCAATCTATTAATTAAACAAAAAGCAGGCAATTAAATGTTGATTAAATCACGTACCTAAATGGCATTAAATAAGAATTTCCCGTGATGGTGTTGTCTCAATTCACTTAATTTCTTTCCTTTGCAAGAACCTCCCTATAGTTCCATTACCGAACAGTTTATGCATGAAACAAAGGTCTCTTAGAACTGATGTTTTTCCTATACAGAACTTAATTATGTTAGAAGCCATTAAAACGTAATAGGATTTAAGTAAAATCGTCCTCGACCTAAAACAGTGCTTTATTACATATTATACTACGTAAATGAATATAATAACCGAAAATGATCACCTATACAATTTTTTCATATTAGGAACAAAAATATTCGTTCAAGATTATTTTCTTATGATATAAATCACGTTATTTTAGTAAATTATTGCATATTTTAATATTTTTGAAACATGCAAGTTTTTCTAATCTGAAAGATCACATCCCAGTAGTTTTTTTAGATACATACACATACATACATACATATAATACATAGTTTTATTCTATTTACAGAGTGTTCCACCTCAGAATATAATAGTATTTGTCCTATACATTTTTTTGGTAAAATGGGTTATAAATTTAAAAAGGTTTATTTAGAAAAAAACTGTTATACATACTCGTATATTGTTTTTGAAATTACACAAACTTCAGATTTAAAAATACAAAAAATACACGGTGATCTAATTAAAAAAACACAAATTGCATTTAGATGTTCAATTAGATTTATAAAAAGTAATTTTTGAAGATTGACAGAACTGTAAAAATTTTTGGAGAATTTTTTCAATTATATATCAGAAATTTGGTATCACATGGGAGAAATTTGTACAATTTGATAAATATACAGGGTGAGTCAGTTTTTTGTAGTAGGATTTTAACATTTGATAGAGAATAATTTTTTAATAAGAAAAGTTCCTATAAACGTAGGTCTTAGAACGCTTTGTTTGTGAGATATGGGGTGTTGAAAACAAACTTTTTTTAAGAATTTTTCTTAATATCTCTAAAAGACCAACATATATTAAATTGAAATTTGGTATTAATAACACATTAGTTATAGTGAATAAAACAAATATATCTGTTATCCATTTCACACACCAGTGACGTGCCTGAGGTAGGTTACTGCCCCCTTTAAAAAAATAATTCGTACGCCCGTGGATTTTTCTGAAAGTTGGCATGAAAAAACAAATACAGAACTTAAAAAAGAACTAATTGACACACACACGTTACACAATGTTTGCGTTCTTATGTCAACGTTATAACATTTAATGGTTTTTGTTGATTTTCAACATATTCTTCTTATTACAAATGTATTACCAATATCGTTGGAACAGTTTCATGCCAAATTAATTTAACCAAAAACCATTCATTTTATAGAAAATTGAAAAAGAGCTGTTTTGTTCAGAATTAATTAAAAAATTTAGAAATGATGTTATTTTCCAGAAAAATCCACGGGCGTACGAATTATTTTTTTAAAGGGGGCAGTAACCTACCTCAGGCACGTCACTGTGAAATGGATAACAGATATATTTGTTTTATTCACCATAACTAATGTGTTATTAATACCAAATTTCAGTTCAATATATGTTGGTCTTTTAGTGAAATTAAGAAAAATTCTTAAAAAAAGTTTGTATTCAACACCCCATATCTCACAAACGAAGCGTTCTAAGACCTACGTTTATAGGAACTTTTCTTATTAAAAAATGATTCTCTATCAACTGTTAAAATCCTACTACAAAAAACTGACTCACCCTGTAGATACTGGCAGCACAGAAATATTAAAACACTCCAAACAGCGCTTTTATATGAAAATATATGTTCCTAACTCAAAATGCTATTAAGAAAAGTTCCTTAGAATAAATATTGTTATGTCAGTCCAAAATAAGTCATATTGCTTTAAAAAATGACAGTGTACAGAGTTGGGCAAAAAGTAATTAAATATTGATTATTGAATGTGTTATTCAATAATCTCTGAAAATTTGAATAATGAACAATGTTTAGTATTCATAGAAACCAAATAAATATTACTCAGTAATCATATTTAGGAATACAGTGTATTCGCAATAGTTATTCTTTGTTACTTTAGTCACACAACAAGCAGCTGCTGTCAACTTCCTTTCTTTTGAATAGAATACTTACCTGCTCTATACATTGTGCCACCACGAACTCCATTGATGGATATCTGGAAAACCGCTTGAAGGATTTTTTTTGAAATTGTGATGGTGTGATACGGACCGTGGGCAAGCTAAAATATTTTCAAGGTCATCGTACTTCCGGTTATACCGGAAGTCGATACTAACTTTCTTATTTTAAATGGAATGCCCTGTATATTATTGCATTTTTGGAGAGAGCCTCTATTTTTAAGTTGAAAACATATATCACACTCCATACTTAGGATTGCTCGTTTCTGAGATATTTTGATTTTTAAGCAAAAGTTGACAGAAGCAGACTATGAGCAAAAATTAGTTTTCCTGGAAACATAGGTTTATTTCTTTGTGTAAATTGGTCATTTTGTAAAGGAAGACCTAATTTATCGAATTTGACATGAAAATTTTCCAGTTTTTATACAGGGCGGTTAAAAAAAAATTATCGAAAATGAAGTTCAGAAAATGTGAAAAAAATCGAAATTTTTAAATGGAAACCCTATTTTTTTAACGTATTCGCATTCTGCACTAAAATTAAGTGTAACTTTGTTAAAGTTTACCTATACCTAAACCCAGTGGTTTTCATTTTATTTACGAATAAACATTTCCCTTTTCTTAAAATGATGTTTCCATTTCTTTTGCACATTTTAGGTTGGCCGTGACAGGTAAGTAACAATCAACGTGACAATTGTCACAGGTTTTTAATTGTCAGATTTATTTAGTGCCTTGTGAGCCTCTCTCTGTATCGATTTGTGTAACACTATGTTATAAATCGTTTATTGTGTTGTAACTGTTAAATTGTAGATACGTGTTTCATTTGCAAGTACTATCATTCAGTAAATTATTATTTATGGAATCCATTACTGAAATACTCAGTATTGGTATTCAGTTGATAATGATTACAGAATAAATACATATATAATTATGAATATTGAATACTACCTATTCGTAGTTACTTATTATTTGTAAATACGAAATGTATCTTTTATATTCATCAATATAATGTTATTCGTATCTCCTTCTATCCCTATCGCATGTGTTAGGTTTATTAGTATTATTATAAACCATCGAGTCATAAGTCAAAAGGTTTTAATAATTTTGTCAATACAAAATGTAGATATTTATGTTGTTAAACAACATTCGTTGAATATTAATGAAGATATTAAAATTATAAGGAAAGCTCTGATAGTGTTGTTATACATTTTTTTAAATAATATTAAAATATTAAGCAAATTTAGCACTTCGATATATCACAGTATTTTATGCAAATTTAATACATTTATTGATTTTCGAAAAATAGTTAACTTAACTTATTTTTTAAGTACCTGGTACTATTATTTATTTATAGACTATTATTTTGGTGAGTAATTAATAACTCAACAGCAAAATTTGCTCTTAAAAAAATTTAACCATTTTTTACTACTTACTTGGGTATTATATTAGTTGTAAAAAACAGATTAATTAAAAAATTTAGACAAACGTTTTGCTCTGAAAAAAAAGGTAAGGGTCTATTTAATTAGGAAGATGCAAAATACCTACAATAATAAATCAAATTCAATTCAATTCCTAAACTTCTCTATAATCTTAACCTTTATAATCAATTTCCTGCTGGTCCCCGAAGATGAACGGCTCTATTTGACGTTTTTTTAAATGTGCAAACATGAATGAAATGTAATAAAATGTTTTTCCATATATATCCTTTTAGTCTGTTACAATATATCAGTTACCAAAAAAAAGGCTGATAATAGTACTCCTTCATAATCTGAATAGAAATTAGTACGGCGAAAACATAGATGTTATTAACTGATTTTAGTGTGAATTCATGTACATAGGTTTTNAAATCTACTCGTGGATAGCCGAGATATGTCAAAAAGTGTTTATTTTTTTTAACTTCAACGCCCTGTACCTCCAGAACAAAGGCTTTCATAAAAAAAATTTATAGAGCAAACTACACTTAATTTTGGATAGGGAATACATTCCTGCATTTTCCAAATTTAAAGTGAAAACACCCTGTATATCAGTTACCAAAAAAAAAGGCTGATAATAGTACTATCCTTCATAATCTGAATAGAAATTAGTACGGCGAAAACATAGATGTTATTAACTGATTTTAGTGTGAATTCATGTACATAGGTTTTTATGTATAGAGCCTTCAAAAATGATTACAAGCCATGTGACCGTCGAGCTTAGGCAACCCAACATTGTAGGACTGGTACTGGTGACGAAAAATCTTGTATGACCTTAAATCTTGGCGTTACCAATATTAATGATTCGTTTACAATGAACAATGACAAACCGTTACATCTACTCTCGAAATAGTGCGATCGCTGATACGTTGATAAAATCTCATGAAAAATTACACCAATCACAAGCCGGTGAAACAGAATGTAGTGTTTAAATGTAATTTTGATCACATTATTTTAATTTTACCGAAATTTAGTTGCCAACGTGAAGCAAACAAAATTATCGGTTACGTGGCTTGTAGTCATTTATGAAGACTGTATCTATTTTCAGAATGCTTGTGCTTCGACTGATTTTTCTTTGCAGATAATTCAAATTCTATTGCTCAGTAATGGAATTAATATTATTTTTTATCTCTTTCTATTATTGTATAAACCGTTTGTAAAATACCTTATTAAAAGTAAAGAAAAATAAATTTTTGTAACTTTATTGTTGTAACAAATTTATACTTGAATAAATTACAATAAACCCTAAAGACTACAAATATAATAATAATAAATGAAATAAATAAGTATATATTTTCAATCTTAAAATATTTAATGTACAAGAAAATTTGTGGAACTAATAATAAATTAGTTTTTTCCAATTTCTAACATTTGGGTATACAGAGTGCGGGTAGTACATATTATATTGATAAATTCCAAAGCATGTAGAACAAGTAAAAATAAATCGACTCTTCCTTAAAAAACTTATATTTGGATAAAGTCAATAACGCGCAATTTTCGGTAGAAAAAAGTTTAAAAAAGTGTTAGTGAACCATTTCCTAGTACTTTCAGCTATTTTATTAAAAAATGTGCGCTTGCAGCAAATAACCTTATGTTTTGGTAAATATACATATTTCGTCGTTGTCCTTTGTTCTTGCTCTTGAAGATAAAATCTATTACACTCTGTATACACAAAACGTTCAACAATTGTGGTGCCAATTTCAAGTAAAAAATATGACAAATACATAGAGACATATATTTATTTACGTTTAGTAATAACGAAGAATATGTTTAAATATATTATCATATATCTACAAGTATAAATAAATCAAGTAGGTACCTATGTCATCATTTACTATAGGATACTTATTTGTGTTTATAACGTTGACAATAAAAAAATGTAGGAAAACATAGTCTAGTATAGTTTCTATTTTACTTAATGCACTAACATATAAAATTGCTTGAATAAATAGTAAACAGTTCAAAAATATGAATTTATAAAAAGGTATTAGGTTAAGAAAGAGAGAGAAAGGATGAGAAATACAAAACACTCGTAGAACAACTTTTTAGCGTATAGGTTTGGAATTTAGCGATATAAAATCTTTTCAATCATTCAATATTGTCAATGTTATTCATTTGTCAATAAGTGAATCACTTGTTTAATATTATAAATAAATTTTCGAAACAATATTTATAATTATAATTACTGTGAATGGATATAGTAGGAAGTAAGTACTCAAGAACGTCTTTAGTAGTTGCTTTGGACCTCCTTTATTTTGAGTTAACATGCCAAACTTTTCCCAAATTTAAATTACATAGAAAAATCTTCCCATTTGCATAAAACAAAATTTTGGGGCGGGAATTTTAAATGGGTATTCCACAAAATACCATGAATCTCTTATTTACAAATGCTGATCCACTCCTCTGTAGTACACGTTTGACACTCTACATGACAGCACCAGTGAAACTTGCATTTGCAGCGTTCTATCCTCTTCTGTTTGATGAGGTTATATCCTCTACCACAACATAAATTTGAACAACTATCAGAACTTGAACTGGTGCGGTTACAGAAGCGACCTGCTGTCCCTTGAACGTCCAGGTTTTGGTCTCGTTCACAAAAATTTGGAGATTTTTGGTAATAGAGTAAGTCGTAAGACAAGTCGCGCTTGTGTTTGTTCTTACGAGGAGTCCATTGTTTCAGTCTTTCTTGTTGCCTTCTTTTCTTTTGGTTAATTCTGAAAACAAGGTGAATTTGTACCTAAGCAAACATTGTAGGTTTTTACTAAATCGTATAAAGCATCATGTCGTTTTAACAATTTTAATTAATTTAGAAACGTCGAGGGATAGGAGAAGATTTCTTTAATAACAGTGTTGCCTTCTAGATGTATTTATTGAACCAATACGACGACCCAGTCCATAGGCTGTTGAGGTTTTTGTAGGTGATTTTGCGGAAAATTACTTGAGGGATCTTAATATTTGGGATTTGATGGGATTGGGATTTCATGACTTCCAACTATACATTTTTTTGGGACATTGATTATTATCTATTATGTTTATAAATAAAACACGTACAGGTACATACTTACACGTTAAATTTTCTCAGACTTTTCTTTCCTAAATTAGTTTGGTCTACAAGAATCGCGGATCGATATCGGTCCTTTAAAATCTTGCCTATGACACGAATGTCCGGAGTCGCTCTCCAGCAAGTTTTAAGCTCACAACTTCCAGACATTCCATGACACTTGCATTTAACTTGCATGTTATTCGAAACTGCCTACAAAAAAGTTGCAATTACAAGAGAAAAAATGTGTAGCAATTATTATAAGATTCTCTTTTAGATAGAGAAGTTTATGGAAAAATATAAATAAAATAGTTTCTAATTAGATATTGCCATTGGAACTGTATCAGTCCTTTAAAATAGCTGAATCTAAAAAATAACTTTTCGTAGATGATCAAGGCATAAAAGTGAGTATGCAAAAGGTATTTTCTTCACTAATTAAAGTCATTACAGTTACGAATTGCTAATAAATATAATACACATAAGTGCCTACTAATCTGTAGGTACTATGAAAGGATGACCAGTAGTTGTCTTCCACAATATCATAAGTTAAAAATAGTAATAACATATTGAAAATATTTTACTCGGATGTTCTAGGGTAAATAAATTTGTTACTCCTTATTTTCTCGTTAACTTTAAGATTGAATTGGTATTACTTATTAGAAAATTAGAACATTTCTATTCTACAGTTATGCAATTCAGTTCAAAAGATAATGCATTTAGGTACCAAAGATTAGTAATACTCTGCTCGCTTCTACAGGTAGAAATCTGTTATCCAAGAGCAGGTAATGTCAGCTTGTGTTACTAGATGCCTCTCTATGTACAGCTCACTTAAATTTTAAAATACAAGATATTTAAATATCCTTGAAAGATATTCCAAATATACGTACATCTACATCACATTATCTTGAAACAACAGAATGATTTTTAGCAAATTTGGTGAGTTAGTATAAGTATCCACTGTTATTCAGAGTGTCCCAATAAAAACTCCCGTAGCAATTTTCTCAGGAACACTGGCAAATAGATGAGGTGGAAAAGACTTATCCATGATAGAATTTAAAAGTATGTTAATTACTAAACAATTTATATGATATTCACTATTTCTGAAAACTTCATAGATTTCGAGATATTCTAGTTTAACTACCTCTCTGTTTAATAAAATTGAATGTCAGTTGGATGTAGGATTTATTTATGGTATGTCAGGACAAGTAAGATTGTAATGAAAATATCAGTTTGCAATGGGGATTGCCCTGTATAATAAATACATGCTGTTTCAAATAAATACAAAATATAGGTTAACAAAGCATGTTTGTCTCAAAACGTAAACTGAATAAAATAAACTAATAGCAAATTGCTTATTTATTTAAAAAGATAAATTATTGTAATCCCTTTATAATAAATTATTAAATATTCAAAATTATTTCTATATTTTGAATAAATGTAATTTAAAAAATTCATCGGATAAGCTTTTTGTTGCGGCATAGACTGTATTAAACATCTGAAATATTTTTTTATTGACCCGAGACAATCATACTAAGACAGTGTATAATCATTTTTGAATTTTTCTCAACTTGTATTTTAATCTCCAAAGAGCAATTTCATTTGTTACGCTTAATGAATATTACATTGATATTTCCGTTTCACTTCAACTAAACTTGATCTTATTTAGTTTATTATTATAGTATTTGTAATAATAGTGATTCACAATAATAAAGGTACATTAAATATGTTATTAATTTATGAGGAATGCCACGAAAATGGTGCTGAATCTCCTAAAACATTTGTTAATATAATAATTAATAATAAATAATAACCGTTAATATAACAATTAGGAGTTTTAATCGATTGAAATGTATTCGATAAAAACACCAAACAAGACGTAAGATGTAAGATGTAAGATGCTGTAAGACAAGATTTACAGGTACATACATAAACTGTTGTTTCCAATTCTAATTTCTAAAAATTCAATTTATGGTTTTAGATACATAGACAAACATAGACACACATACACGCACACGCACACGCCCACTCACACACACATGCACGCACACACCCACACACACACACACACACACAGGTTTTATTTTTCATTACAATGTACATGGAACTTGATTTCACAATTATTATTCTGATAAATTTGAAAACCTTCAAATGGAAGTCAACGCGACGCTTTTTTATGCCAGACGTCAGTTATAAATTTCTACAATACAAACACACATATTACCTAGCAACCGCCTTGTAACTTGATGTTTTTATTTCTCTGGCATGTCCATATTATTTGTGAAAATTGCTTTTTAAATTAAATGAATGAAACTGGTGTAACGAAAACCGTTGAACGACACACGGCCGATTCGTAAATAACGTCCACTTTGCCCGTTATTTACTTGTTATCGGCCTTGTAACGTTAATAACTATTGGCTTACAGATCAAACGTTGTCATGAGCCCAAAGTGTAGTCCAGTCATTATAGACATGGAACAGCCTGATTCGGGAAAAAAATACTATTAGAATTTTCTGCTGAATATTGTTCGGAAATGTGTTATAAATAAAATATCAAAAAATCAACTCGAGACTAGTTGGGAAACTTTATTTAAACAATGGTCAAAGTTATGGAAAAGTGGTTTTTTAACTCGCGTAAAAAAACTATTATTCATAGCGAAAAGGGGTTTATACAAAAAAGGTAGGTATTAAATAAACCTTTAAAATGAGACAAGTCCGATTAAATTCAGATAATTTGTTTATGCGCAAGAGCTCAAAAATGGTCGATAATGGCCGTTTTTTTCAATTGCTAATAATTAATGCAATTTTCATCGCAGACACTTGTAATTCAGGATTTTTGAGACTTTTTACACCCTTAATAAGTGGTAAAAATTTCAGCCCGAAAGCTTCATTGGTTTGGCGTTGGCGGAATTTGTTATCCAAGAAGATACCATTTTCAATTTATTTTTCTCAAGCTCACAGGCGTTGTAGAGTTTCGATCATTAGTTGTTTTTGTACCTAAATAGTTGTATTGACATACGCATTTACTGAGAATTTAGTTTTTCAAATTTAAATTGTTTTAAAATGACTTTGAAAAACTGTTAATATTTATTAAATTGTTAAGATAGGTAATTATTATAGAATAAAATAGTAACCTCTATACTTTAGTTTTCTTCGAAAATCGTTGTTGTAAGTTGATTAGAAGCTGAGATAATTTTTTTTATTTAATCGCAGTGACCTTAATTATTAATATTAAGAGCCGAAATTTGGAGAGAGTATACATTAAGAGCTATATTTTCATGTCCTAAATTAACATTAAGGTGAATTAAACTATTTAATTGCGAAAAAGAAGATAGCGGCGATGCGTTCTATTACTTGGTCTAGCGAACGAGTGCGGAGAGCGAGGCGGAGCATGCGCGCTTAACAATTTAATAAATATTAACATTTTTTAAAGTCATTTTTAAACAAATTAAATTTGAAAAATTAAATTGTCAGTAAATGCATAAGTCAATACAACTATTTAGGTACAAAAACAACTAATAATTGAAACCCTACAACGCCTGTGAGCTTGGGAAAAATGAATTGAAAATAGTATCTTCTTAGATAATAAATTCCGCCAACGCCAAGCTAATGAAGCTTTTGGGCTGAAATTTTTACCTCTTATTAAGGGTGCAAAAAGCCTAAAAAATCCTGAATTACAAGTGTCTGCGATGAAAATTGCATTAATTATTAGCAATTGAAAAAAGCGGACAATTTCGCCCATTTTTGAGCTCTTGCGCATAAACAAATTATCGGAATTTAATCGGACTTTTACAGATTTATTTAATACCTACCTTTTTTGTATAAACCTGTTTTCTCTATGAATAACAGTTTTTTACGCGAGTCAAAAAACCACTTTCCATAATTTTGACCATCGTTTTAACAAAGTTTCCCAACTAGTCTCGAGTTGATTTTGTTTATAACACGTTTCGGAACAATATTCCGCAGAGAAACTTCTAATAGTATTTTTTTCCCGAAAAAAAGCTATAATTACTGGCCTAGTGATCCTATGAATAGTTTCAGAGATAAAGAAGGGGAAGTATGTGATTTTGGCTGTAGGCCTGAGTAAGCTTCACGAAGTTTCAAGTTGATGGATTCAAAACTGAGGCATGTAATGAATTTTGACCAGTAGGTACACAATGCTTTTGGGATCGCTGAACCTAAATTCGGAGATAGCTTAGCTATTTAAGGTCACCTGAAGGTCAGGTAATGGTTGTTTCAAGGTCAAACTGAAGAAAAGACTTGAATTTTGACCACTGAATGTATAGGTTTTTGGGCTCGCAGAATCTGAATCTGGAGATAGCGTAAACTAAAGGTAACCTTCAAGTCAATTCAAGGTCATTTCAAGATCAACCAGTGCGTATATAAGTTTTTTTGGGGGGAACTGAATTCGGGGATAACTTAACTCTACAAGGTGACATTTAGGTCAAGTCAAGATCATTTCATAGTCAAAGTAAAGAAAAGGCCTTTCACGAATGTTAACCTGTAAGTATGTATGCTTTTGAGGTCGCTGAACCCGAATTCGGGGATAGCTTAGCCCTATAAGATCATCTGCTGGGCTTGAATTGATATTAAATGATCTTGACTTGATTTCCAGGTGATCTTATAGGGCTAAGCTATCCCCTAATTCAGGTTCAGCGATTCCAAAAGCATTGTACCTACTGGTCAAAATTCATTACATGCCTCAGTTTTTGAATCTATCAACTTGAAACTTCGTGAAGCTTACTCAGGCCTACAGCCAAAATCACATACTTTCCCCCTTTTTATCTCTGAAACTATTCATAGGATCACTTTGGGCCCATGACAACTTTTGATCAGAAAGTCAAAAATTATAACATACCTACTGCAATTTCAGCAAAATCCATTTTCCATTGATTTTGTGCGGGGTTCTTTATTACATTTTCAAAAATGGGTATACCACAAAAATTGTTTAGACGTGAAAACACTTCACATGAACAAGTTTCCAGTCTCTTTGATCGCAAAATGTTTTGGCCCCACAGCGCCATCTGTGTTAGTAGCTGTTATAGGCAAAAATTTAATTCATCTGGGAGGTCTGATAAACCATGCTCACAAAACTAGAATATCTTTCCGTTCCAAAGAAAATAGCGAAGGGGTTTTTGATAGGACTCTGTGTAAAATCCTCTTTGGAAGTCATTAATATTTCTGAAAAAATATATAAACTGTAATTTTAGAAAAGCA